GCACTTACTCCTCATGTAGTATTTCTGTCCTTAATGTGCTGTGCATTGAGATTTAATGCTATAATGAGTACTCAAATAATATATTTCACTTTGTGTTTCTATGGGGGTGCAAACTGTTGAAATCTTTACTTAATGCATACTAAACTGATCCTCTGTAAAAAAAAAAAAAGAAATTATCAACTCCCAACTTGACTCTCACTGGGATTAAACATGACAATAGGTCTGATCTGATTTCATCATCATTTAAAAAAATCATCTATTATTTTTCACTTTATGTTTCTGTGTGGGAGCAAACTGTTGAAATCCTTACTTAATGTATACTAAGCTGATCTTCTGTATATTAAGATAATCAAAAATGTATCTTGATGTGAATGGAAGGGGAGAGGGAGTGGGAAAGGGGAGGGTTGCGGGTGGGTGGGACAGTATGGGGGGGAAGCCATTGTAATCCATAAGTCGTACTTTGGAAATTTATATTCATTAAATAAAAGTTAAAAAAAAGAAAGAAAAGATGAAAATGGGAGATTTCTGCCTTTGGATTGACAGCCCCACACTCCCCAAATGCATACAACATCTAGGAGTTAGCCTTTCTAAAATCTGGAGCCCAGAACTGCATCTGTGTTTCCTTTGTCGGTTGTAGGGGCTCTATCACTATAGCGTCATCTGTAGTTTACCACGATGTGTTATCAGGAAAAAGTGTGGGAAGCCGCGTGGCTGGGCTCAAGAAGCACTCTGATGGGAACACGGGTGTCCCTAGTGGGGACTTTGCCAATTTTGTCCTAATGCCTGCCGCCCATATTTACACAGAAGAAAGACTGCAAGTGGATTCATTTAAGGATACTATGTCTTGTTTCCTTATTCATCGATTACCTTATTTTAAAACTGTTCATTAACACAGAACATTGTGCATGTTAGTGGTGTGTAGTGTGCTATTGGAATCTGTGTGTTGCAGAAATGGGCACAGATCAACTCACTGTCATTCACATTTCTACCTCCGTTCCATCACTTTGTGTTGGGAGACCGGGTGTCCTCAGTACTGCTTATTTGTGGAACATGTCGTGGGTTGTAGTGAACTGAGTCAGCCCACTGTGGTGGGGGCAGAATTATTCCTTGCTTTGAGTGGTGCTTTGTGTCCTGGTAGCAGCCGTCTGCTGTTCCCTCTCTTCCCTGTGTCTAGTAATCATGACTCTGAGTTCAGCTCAAGCACTGGGTATGAAGTCACTGTGTCACAATTCACCCACAGTCCTGGGTTCAGGTAATGCAGCTGTGTTCACAATAGTTCAGTCTACAATAAAGCGAAATGTGCATAAAATGGTGAATGCAGTCTGTTACATTTGACATGGAATATTATTCAGTGTTAAGAAGGAGATTGTTTTGTCATTAGGAAATCTTGGGTCAGCCTTGAGCATAATATGCTAACAGAAATAATGCAGGTACACGTGGACACATAGTATTTGACATTAGTTATATATGCAGTCCACACGCTTGAACTCACAGAGGGAGGAAGTGCAATGGAGATCACTGTCTACCATGACCCAAGTGTTTGTCCCCTTCCAGCTCTGGGGGAAACTGGGGGAAGTTCCAGGCTCCTGGCTTCAGGCTCAGCCATCCCAGCCTTTGCAGCCATTCAGGAAGGAAACCAGTGGAAGGAAGCTTCTCTCTCCATCTGTTGGTCTCTTCCTGTCTTGCTATAACACTGCCTTTCAAACTAAATAAATAGATATTAAAATAAATGGAAAATTAGATTTATATATCATTAGGAGCCTATATGCATCTGTTGAATAAACACAGAAAACTGAATCCCAAGGGAAGACATCAATTGTTTAAATGCAGTTACTGACAATGTGGTGACAGGAGCAGCACTGGAGTTAGCAATGGGATTGCTGCTCCCGCATCAGGATGCTGAGTGCTGTGTCCTAGTTTTGTTCCAGTTTCAGATTCCTGCCTAAGCCCACTCTGGGAGGCCGTAGGTGAAGTTCCAAGAACTCCCACGTTGGAGACCTGGAATGAATTCTAAGTACCTGGCTGTCACCTGTTCCAGCTGAAGCGTTTGTAGCCACCTGGGAAGTGACCAGGAGTTAGATGATCACTGTCAGTCTCAGTCTTTGTGGTTTTAGATAAAAACGTACATACAAATTTTAAAACAAAATCTATGAATTTTTAAATGTATATTACATCTATAAAATTTAAGAAATGATATAAAAGCAAACATGTAAAATGCCATAAATCTCAGATCATCATGTATGTACATTTTAGAAGCACAATGAGATGTCCCATCCTTCATGTTAGAATGAGTATTACCAGACAAGCCAGAGCTGACAATTCTTGTGAAGGAAGAGAGATGACCACTCTGGTTGCACAAGGCTGGAGTCGGGTAAATTAGTAAATCCACTATGGAAAGTCATCAAAAACTGAGACATACAGTTATCACAGGATCTTCAAACAGCATTTTGGGTAGCAGGAATGTGAAATCCCAGGGAGATGTGCATGGGATTCACAGTCCTCTATAGAAAATACAACTGCAGTTCCATGTGCAATTAAAGCAGCGTCGTTCACGAGTGTTCACACATATAATCCAGTGAAATTTTCATGGAAGAAGGAATCAATAATGGAAGAAAAGGGCATGGAACAGAGGAGATGTTGGAGCAAGGTCAGAGTTTCAGTCCCACAGGATCCACATGTTGAGGGATCTACTGTACAGCATGGTGACAGCAGTTAAGCAAATATTGTGTCTACAGAATTCCAAAACAGAAGACAACTGACATTCTACCATGGGAACATGTGAATTTTGTGATGAGCGTGTCAATAGGAGTGACTTCATAATTCCACTCAATTTGATACATTCGTTTTACAACAATATCATTGTACCTCATATGTCTATATTCAATTATTATTTATCAAACATTTATGATAATGAAATGGCAAAAATGGCAAATCATGAAGATTCAATACTCTGAATATTGGTGTTGTGTTTGCCAATGTTTTATGAAGATGATAAAGGCAGTGCACTCAAGGCTTGGCAGCTGGAACTCAGGAACATGGAACTGCATCAGTGTTCCCACCTTGGTGATGGGGCCTCATAACAGATCCATCATCTGCTGTCTTCCAGGGTGCACTGTCAGTTACAAGTGTGGTTAAGAATGTAAATGTGGGCCAGTGCCGTGGCTCACTAGGCTAATCTGGGTTCTAGTCCCGGTTAGGGCGCTGGATTCTGTCCCGGTTGCTCCTCTTCCACTCCAGCTCTCTGATGTGGCCTGAGAAGACAGTGGAGGATGGCCCAACTGCTTGGGCCTTGCACCCGCATGGGAGACCAGGAGGAAGCACTTGGTTTCTGGCTTTGGATCGGCGCAGCATGCTGGCCGTAGCAGCCATTTTGGTGGAACCAATGGAACAAAGACTTTTATCTTTGTCTCTCTCTCTCTCTCTCCCACTGTCTAAATCTGACTGTCAAAAAAAAAAAAGAACGTAAATATATTCAGTCCAGCATTCTGATATAAACCTGGGTGTCTCCCTCTCTAAAACTGATGAAGGATTCCAAATGGATTGATGATTCCAGCCAGCGTAGACATGGAGTGAAGAGTAGGGACTCTGGATACATGGTCTCTGAGACTGGCTCTTCCTGCAGCTGTGATCCAGCCTCAGGACACTGGTCATCATGCTGGAGCCACAGACACAGCTCCTCATGATGTGGACTCCAGCCCCAGAGTGCACAGCCACTGTGTGTCCCACTTTCTGCTCTCCCTCAACCACAGCAGGTGCAGGGGGTCCCAAGACACTGGAGCAGAACCAGATCAGCTGGAAGGGCACATCCAACACTTTCCATTCAGTGATGACCTTGACTGCTGATGTCCAGCGCATTTCCCTCCTGAGATCAGGCAGGGAGCCCCCCAAGAGGGTCCCAGGACCTAGAGGATGAGGAAGTCCCTGTAGGCTTCCCAGGTGCCTGCAGAAGCTCAGCCTGAGACACAGCTGAGCTGCAGTACATTCCTGAGTGTTGTGACGTTCACACAAGGACCACAGACTGTGTTAGGATTAAATGGTAAATGGAGATTGTGAATAAAGTCTGTGGAAAGTGAGTGTTTATCACCCACAGTGTAAAATGAAAGGTTGGTTCAGTTCAGCACACTCGCTCGTTTTGACAGGTGAGAGACATTAAATAGCCGATTTTTAAACTCAAACCCTGGCTCAGCTATCGCTGGATAGAAAGGGAAATGTAAAATTTCCATAAAGTTGGCAGTACCCTGAGAGAGTTGTCCTGTCAGACTGGACAACACTCACGATGTCCCCAGATTGTCCCACATCTCTGATCCTGGTGATCCTGGAGACCGCTGAGCCTGGATTCGTTCATTTAGGACTTCTCCTGTCACATCAAACTTCTCCACGTCAGAGAATCAGTAGCAGGGTCAGAATCATAAAAGAAGAATTCTTCCCTCAAAACTGTTATGGGAGAGGAAACCCCAATTCCCTGACAGGAAACCAGGGCTTCATCTCACTCTGCGCCTGTGCAGGACCAGAATCTGGGCTCAGTGAGTCTTGTGCGCTCCCTGGTGGAGAGGCGCACCCCTGCAGGGAGGTTTCTGTCTGGGCTCAGCTGTCTTGCACAGTAATACAGGGTCGTGTCCCAGCTGTCAGACTGTTCATTTGCAGAGACACCGTGTTCTGGGTGTTCTCTCTGGAGATGGAGAATCGGCCATTCACCCAGCTCGCGTAGTATGTGCTACCATCACCAGTAGAAATGCATCCAATCCACTCCAGCCCCTTCCCTGGAGCCTGGCGGACCCAGCACATCCAGTAGCTGCTACTGATGGTGAATCCAGAGGCTTTGCAGAAGAGTTTCAGAGATTCCCCAGGCGTGACCAGGCCTCCCCGGGACTCCACCAGCTGCTCCTGACACTGGACACCTGCAAACACAGATATCCTGGTCAGGAAGCTGTCACTCACACTTTTGGGTCTCTCACTCACCCACTCTTCCAGACTCAGTGCCCCGCGTTCTCCATCATTACCTTTGAGCACAGCGACCAGGAGAAGCCAGCGCAGCCCAGTCCCCATGGTGAGCGTCTGTGTTGAGTGCACTCACTGAGTGGACACCTGGGAGTGCTGGGGCTGGAGCTCCTGTGCCAGAGCTGCAGGGTGAGGGCTGGGCTGGTTTCATGGGCAGAGGGAGGCCCTATTTGCATGTGCTGCCCCTATATATCAGGTATGGGGTCAGACGCCTCAGACAGGACAGGGCCCAGTGCAGATGTGGTGTCCTGGGTGTGTAGGGTGATGGCTATGATAGGATTCAGATCATACGAATTTTTTTTTCTCGTTGTTGTTTTACCAGTTGTAGGCAACGACTTCATTTCATTACAATATGTGTGTGCCCTTAATGTCCATTGTTAGCAATATCATGTCCTTCATTTTAAAATAACCTTTGCTTCTTTATTAATTATGCTAATGACATTGGAGCTGTGACAGAGAGAGAATTGGTGAGAGAAACAGAAATGTAGAGATGGACAGTGAGTTGACAATGGGAGATTTTTGCCTTTGGATTGACAGCTCAACAATACCAAATGCCTACAACATCTAGGAGTTGGTCTTCCTAAATCCTAGAGCAAAAGTCTGTGTTTCCTATGTCAGTGGTAGGAGCTCATTTGCTTGTAGCATCAGGTACAGTTTCCCATGATGCTTTATCTTCAAAGTGTGGGAAGCCGTGTGGATGAACTGAAGCAGCACTCATATGGGAATAGGGGTGTCTGTGGCGGGGACTTAGCCAATTGTGTCTTATTTCCTGCTGCCCACTTTTACAGATGAAAGAGTACAAGTGGATTCACGTAAGGTTAATTATTTTTTTTTTTTTTTAAAATTGTTGTTTCATACCATGTGCTTTTTCACATTTTTATAAAAATTTATTTAATTTCTTTTAAATCAGAGAAACACAAGAAAGAAGGGGAGGGAGAGGGAGAGGGAGAGGGAGAGGGAGAGGGAGAGGGAGAGGGAGAGAGAGAGAGAGAGAGAAGTCCTCCATCCATGGCCTCCCTCTCCAATTGTTAACAATGGTCGGAGCTGCACTGATATGAATCTAGGAGCCAGTTGCCTGCACTGGGTCTCCCACGGATTACGGGAACTGAAGATGGAAGCCATCTTCTACTGCCTACCCAGGCCACAGCAGAGAGCTGGATTGGAAGTGGAACAGCCAGGACTCCAACTGGCGTCCTTATGGGATGCCAGCACTGAAGGCAGAGGCTTTACCCACTACACTACAGCACCAGCCCTGATGATCTTAATTATATGTGGAATCTGCAATCGTGAGCTCACAGAGGCAGGAAGTACAATGCAGATACTGAGTCTGGGAGTAGAGAAGAAAAGGGACCACGTTCTTGCAAGCACAGAGAGTTTTCTGTGACCAGAAAGGCATGTGGAGAGATCTACTGCACAGCACGGGGACAACAGTTATGAAGCTTTATTGTGTTCTTTCCAGTTCCTGCAGGAGTAGGCATTTGTCATTCGATCACAAACAATGGTAGTGTTGCTAGGGAAGGACTTGTGGGTTCATCAGATTCTAGAATTCCTGATGAAATAAATCCACATCAACACCTTTCCTTATACCTCACATACAGATTCAGTTAATTTTTATCAATTTTACATTTATGAAATCTATTTTGAAGGGACAATTCTCTGTTGACTTGTCTTGCGTCTGTCTGTGGTTTTATTCTAAGAAGAAAATTACGTGGTGTTGCAATCATTCCTGGTACTAACGCAGTCACGAGGGCTGTGAGTTCATCGACACGTGAGAGGTTATCTGTCGTGTTCGGCTGGCACAACTGCCCCACCACTGCCCTCTCGAATTCCTCCCCTCCCATGTGTGAAGCTGAGTCATTTTAGAAGAGCCCCTGTCTTCACTCAGATCACGTCCATGGAAACCTCTCTCTGTGCTGTTTACTTTACTCCCCAATCTCCCTGCGTCCAACTGGTTTCACAAGCCGTTTCTTCATGGACCCACCAAGGCCCACCTGCCAACTCCTTGAAAACACGGTCATCAGAGACCCCAGTCCTGCTTCCCCAGACAGGACCTCCCTCTTCTCACCATGGTGCAGTCCTGCTATTTGTCACCCTGGGGACACAGCATCTTATACAACTGACAGCCCCTCAGCACCTGGGGGGAGACTCTGTCGTGGTGTTTACACAAATGGAATATGTTTCTGTCAGTTATAATTTGAGTAAATTTTCTTGAGTAATTTCTTGTGACTGTAGATAAGTGATGAATTATACATCTCACATTTCCTAGTACTGTAGATATGAGGTGTTCTCACAGAACAATGGAATTCACTGTGTCAGATGGTGGATTGTGTCAATGAATTCTCTAGGTGAATGCATGAAAACTGTCCCCAGCTAAATAGAAACAACTTATGTTTGTCAATCTTCTCTCAGAAAAGGCAGAGATATGTCAACTGTTTTAATTTAGTAGGAATTTTTGTGTCTCTGGATTTAGATGGGAGTCACTCAGAACACACATTGCTGCATGAGGTGAGTGACTGGCTGCAGTTTCTGTAAGAACTGTTCATGGCAGATCAATTGCAGTTTAGCAGAAAATATCCTGTAAAACACAGGGGATCGCTGCACTGGGCATTTCTGGCTGCAGGAACTTGGTTTGCCCTGGATGAGTATGAACTTGACAGAAGAGGAGTTATTTTCTCTTGGTAAGGATGAAGTACTGATGAGGACATGCAGGGGGAGCCAGGGAGGGAGGAGCGGGGACTCTGGACCAGGGCTGGCTCATCACGCAGCACTGATTCAGCTCACCAGGTGGGTCAGTGTGTGGCAGCCCCTGGCACCCAGATCCCAGGGATGGGGACTCTGGCCCCGGAGTCAGGGCCCTGGACTGTCCCCCTCTGCTCACCCTGAGACACCGCAGTGCAGCGGATTCCACCACACTGGAGCAGAAGCAGAACGTGTAAGTCCACACCACACACTTTCCAAACAGATTATTCCTTGAGTGCTTCCCATGGGTGCATGCAATGAGGTCATCTGAAATGTTTCAGGAAACTGAATGCGGAATTTCATGGTGCTGAGGAAACTTGAGTGCACCTAAAATAATTCATCATGCTGTCATCTCACACCAGTATACCAAAGAGAGTGAACAGGATGAAACTCTTAAAGGCAAGACCCGAGACTGTAAAGTTCTTGAAGAGGACACAGGACAAAAGCAAGTTCCCATTGGTTTGGGCAATGATAGTTTGATAATCTCCAAAGTACAGGCAACCAAGATACACAGACAACGAATAATGGATCCAACTACAGATTCTGAGTAACAAAGAGAAAGATTGAAGAACCAGGAGTCGCCCGCAGATGGGGAGAAAGTATTTTCAGATGACACCCATGGGGGCCAATGTTGTGGCCCTGCAGGTTAAGCTGCCATCCCTATGCATGCATCACACAGGAGCATGGGTTCAGATTCTGCTTGCTGCACTTCAAATCCAGCTCCCTGCTGGGATGCAGACCTGGGAACTCTGTCAATGATGACTCAAGTGTTTGTCCCCTTCAAGCAATGTGGGAAACTGGAGGAAGTTCCAGGCTCTTGGCATTAGGCTTGCCCAACCTCACCTTTGCTGCAATATGGGAAGTGAACCAGTGGATGGAAGCTTCTCTCTCCATCTGTTGGTCTCTTCCTCTCTTGCTAAAACACTGCCTTTCAAATAAAATAAATACTTAAAATAAATGAAAGATTAATTATATATATGGTTAGGAGCCTATTTCCAAATGTTGAATGAACTCAAGCCACTGAATCCCAAGGGAAGAAATCAATTGTGTACATGCAGTGACTGATAAGGTGGTGACAGGAGCAGCACTGGAGTGAGTCTGTGGGATTGCTGCCTCCCATGTCAGGATGCTTAGTGCTGCGTCCTGGTTTGGTTCCAGTTTCAGATGCCTGCCTAAGCCCCTCTGGGAGGCCATAGGTGAAGTTCCAAGCACTGCCATGTGGAGACCTGGACAGAATTCCAAGCACCTGGCTGTCAACTGACCCGGCTGAAGCTTTTGTAACCGTCTGGGAAGTGACCCAGAAGTTAGAATATCACTCTCAGTCTCAGTCTCTTTGTGGTTTTGGACAAATACATGCAGAAAAGTTATTACTAAATGATAAATTTTGAAATTTATATCATATCTATAAAATTTAAAAAGAAATATAAAGGCAAATATATCAAATGCACAGGTGCCTGGGAGACGTGGAATGGCATCGTCTCTGGGGAGTGCATCCAGTGTTGACCCCACGCCATGAGTGGATTCAACGTCAGGGCCTCATGGAGGAATCTGAGGTCTCCAGTGCTCTGAACAGGACCACACAGAATGCTGGGAGCAGCCTGCTGGGGGTGGATGAGATTTGTTCTCACAGCATCAGTGCTGAGCATGGCCCCAACATAACAGCACTGACGGGGGTGGGGGTACACGGTCTGGATGTTTACATAAAAATCATGGAATAACCAGACTCTGATGTCAAATGCAAAGTCCTTGTAAAACTACTGAAGGAAACATTGGGCAAAATCTCCCTGATGTTGTTCTGGCCATGATTTCCCTTTCAGATCTTCAAAATTCAAGAGACCAAAAAAATATTCTCAAATGATGCTGCATAAACTACAGAGCTTCTGCATTACAAACAGACTGACTGAGAAGTGAGCAGCCTACACACAGATTGGAAGTGACTATTCTCGTATCAAATGTATGATCAATAGCCTGTATCCAAAAGGAATAAGAAGGAACTGTCTGTCTGAGCCGTGTTTAGAACTGGTTCTGAGTCTTCTGCAGTCTCAAAATAACTGTTATACACAATTGGCTTTTTCATCCTGATCGACAGGTTCTGCATCATCAGGCCTACAATGGGTATAGAAGCAAACTTCTCTGATTGTGTGTGACTCAGTGTTGCTATGGATTCATTCTGGTGGGGGAAGAGGCGTGGGGTCACCACACAGACCCCGGGAGTTGGGTGAAAGCAGGCCAGAGGCGAGCAGCCCGCAGACTCATTTGTTTCAGTAGGTACAGCCGCTTATATAGCCGAGGCAGCCAATCTGGTCAAGGGGCAGTTTATGCCTAACCAATCACAGCCTGTTGCCAGGCAGTATCTGAAGCCATCCAATCA